ACGATACCAAAAAAAAATGCACAATTCTATTCTTTCCACCTTTTCAATGTAATATAATGAAATAAAGCTAGATACCACTTAGTATGAAGCAGGAGGTCTTATGTAAAATTCAATTAATAGTATCAATATTATAATGGATATAATTATACACAAACTATATCAATAAAGGCCTCTACTCCATAAAGCCCTTAGGATCCCTCTCAAACTCACAAACATTTGGAGGAAGAAACTTCTCTCAAAAGGCCTTAGTGGTAGGAACCACTTAGCCAACCGGTTTTATCAGAACAATGCTGAAACTGTTGTTTGAAGCTCTAGTAACAAACCCTACTTATTAAGTCAGTCAGCCACAGAATGTGGGCAGAGTCTTTTAAAACTGTTAGGGATCAAAAAACACTACCTGGATAGAGCATCAGCTTGGGGACTGAAGGGTCCCGGGTTCGATTCTGGTCAAGGGCATGTACTTGGTTGTGGGCATATCCCCAGTGGGGGCTATGCAGGAGACAACTGATAGACTCTCTCTTATCGATGTTTCTAACTATCTCTCTCCCTTCCTCTCTGTACAAAATCAATAAAATATATTAAAAAAAAAAAAACACTACCTGGCCCGGCTGACATGGCTCAGTGGTTGAGCGTTGACCTATATTCCCAGTCAGAGCATATGCCCAGGTATGCAGGAGGCAGCGGATCAATGATTCTCTTTCATCATTGGTGTTTCCTTCTCTATCTCCCTCTCTCTCCCTCTCTAAAATCAATGAAAACATAGTTTTAGAAAAGTACTATCTGCATTTGCAATATTAACTCTATTTTACCTTATAAATTTTCATAAGGCTAAGCACGAATCAATCAGCTTGCCTGATGTATTCTCTGGTTTTGACATAAGATAAGGAGGATGCTAGGCCTATGCCAATGGACAGTCCTGACTGAGTTCTGGATGATGCCACAAAAATAGCTGACATTCTTAGAAGTCTCAATAAAGAAGAGCACATAAATCTCATATGTACAAAAATCTAGAACTGACAGAGGGAAGAGTTCTCAACAAAGCAAAATAAAAGGTGAAAGTGAACTGCTTACAAAGCTGGACTGAGAAGCCCAGACAATATCCTACCAGCATGAGGAGCCACCCATTAAAAGGTTTGTAACTGTGCTAAAATGAATGGAAGTACTTTAGGAACATTAATCTAACCACGAGTTAGGTCAATCAAAGGCATGCGCACATTTGCTTCCTGTGTGGGAAGGGTGTAGAGGGGGTGTGGAGAGTGAGTGTGGCCTGGTAGGAGTAGGAGCATAGTAGGTGTGTGTCTGGGAACAGAAGACAAAAGAAGGTAGAACAATTAAGATTTGTGTCAATAATTCAGATAAGAGGTGTTCTAGCTTTAAACCAAAGAGCTGGAAGTGGAAAGAAAAAATGCATTCAAAGTCAACAATGTGAAGATTTTTTTAACACAGAAGTAGAAAGGGGGGGTGGAATAATCAAAAGTAAAATGTGAGGTTTGGGGCTAGGTCACTGGATTATTGCCACAAACTGAAAAGAGGATGTCAAGATAAATAGTTAAGACTTAAACAGTTGAATTCATTCTAAATATACTGAGTTTGGAGTGACATAAGTATCCAATCGCAACCAGCCCTGGTGGCAGGGATGGTGGAAAAGTCCCAATGACACTAGAAAAATTACTAGATAAAATTTCCCTGACAGGTGATTAAATCATCTTCAAACACAAGTTTATTAGGCCATTTTTCACATAGGCATACCTATTCAGAGTACTTCTAATCTCAGCATTGTTTACTGTAAGGCTAAACTGTGCTTGTGAAGACATAAATATTAAATAACAGACCACCAAAGGCAGTTCTGGAGTACAGAAACCAAGTGTGTTTCACTTCATTTGCTTTGAGCATTTTCCTTACATTCGTTGGCTTTTTTTCTTTGCAATTATTCTGGGAGGAAGACCACACTGTTTGGATCCAAGATATACTGGTAAAGGCTGGGCTAGGGAAAGAGGAACATTTCTTAGATTAAAATTGTTTACTTGATTGCTTCCTGATATTTTATGGTTTTGTACAAAATCACCTGAACCAAAAACAACCATAACTTTCAATTCACACTATTTCTGGCAGCAACGTGACGCACTCCATCCGGGGCTGAGGAAGACAGCAGCTCACGTAAGTACCAAGTTCCTCCTCAATCATCTTAAAGAAAAGCATAACTACTTCCTTTTTTACTTACAACTAAAGTTAGGAAGCATATTGCTTGTAGAAAGCAAACTCATAAAGAAGCTTAACAAATACTAAGTACAAAATCTTGATCAAGAAATCAAAATGGCTACTCTTTGAAGTTAATTCTGTGGCAGTCTTTCCTGTATTATCTCATGCCTAGGAAGTACAATTTGTACAAGTGAAAAGTAATCGCTGGCTCATTAGGAGTGATAAATGCACCATACTAAAGTAAAATTTTAACAATAAGGGAAACTGGGAAAGTGTGTAGGAAGTCTCCACACTATCTTTGTAACTTTTCCATCAATTTAAAACTACCTTAAAATAAAAAAGTTATTTTTGGATTGTGGGGGAGAGGAATCACTGTACTTCTTTTTACTTAAAGATCACGTTTTGCCTAATATTATAAACCTAGCATTTGTTCAATAAATATGCATTGAACAAATGGGTACTCCGCTCTATATCATTTACAAAGGTAACTGAGACCTGATGACAAAAAACCTACTTCCCTCTAACTTCCAAGCTCCCACAGCCAAGGAACTTGACGTTCAGGAGAGAAAAAAATAAGACTCAGGACGCTGTAAGAGCCATACACAAAAAACACAAAGCAATGTCTTTCCCTTTCTCGTGGACCCCTGGAAACCTACTCTGCCAAGCTGCATCTTCCTCTGGCTGGGATTAAATCTAAAACAGACCCAAATTGTGTGCCAGGTATTGGATTAAAAAAGTCCCTAAAAATAGCCCCAGTTCAGTAATTAAATACCCCGTCCCGTAAAAACCAAAGTTTGGACTTCATTCAAAGTTCAGCATTGCCTCCCCTTGCTCTGGCCTGCTGCAGACACAGAGCCTGCAGTGTGTCTGGGGCAGGAGGGCAGGCTCCCTTCCTCTCTTCCCTTAGATAGCAGATCTCCCAGCCTCCTAATAATGGACAAGCAGCTGCTTCTGAGCCCCTCGGGGGAGCTGAAGGGGCAGCGAAAGTCATAACCACCCTGCAAATATCTGGTCGGTTTGCTGTGCAGATGATCAAAGCTGACTGCTCATCCTTGACAACCATGAATGCACCTTCTTTGGACAGTCACTTACAATGTCACAGAACACCTCCCTCAGTGGGGAACAGTTCCTTCCCATCCACATCCTCTCCTCTGTCACTGGCTGTATCAGCCAGCTCCTTCCCTTTAGATTTCTCTGGCATGACTGACACACCATCCGCTTACTACCCAAGCTCCAGGGCACACATACGAAGCTCTCTTTGCCACCTTCTCAGTAGGATGGGGGGTTAATGGAACACTAGCCTCATCATCTCCTATTTCCAAATCTCCTTTCAGCCTCAGCAGCCTCATCGACAGGCTGGAGGTGGGTTTGGAGATGGCATCCCCAAACCTTGTTCCTCACCCTGCCTTGAGCAAGTCCTGCATAGGAGATACAGCACTGTGCTTTGGACCATGAGAGTGATGGGCACTTAGGACCTCAACTCAAACAGAATCCCATTTTATTATCCTCCTATATCCTCTATAACATAGATAGAAAATAAGAGCCAGGAAAATGAAAACACTGTGTAGTTTCAGAATAGGATGCTGCTTCTAGCTTAGGGGAGGGGGACAGGCTGGATCAAAGACCTATCTCGGGCCAGACCTTAAACTTGTGGAGAACAGGAGTGGAGATGAGGCAGAGGGAGAGGGACACATACACTGAAAGATACAGCCTCCTTCGGGCCTTAACTGTGGCTCCTTCCTTCACATAGTAGGAATTAATACATGAAACTCTATTTTAACTGGCAGTATTTATTCTTATTCCTGTGATTTGTGAGCTACGAGTCCTTGTAAATAAATGCCCCAGATGGCTTCTTGTTTTGTTCACTTTTCAGTTCCAACTCTGCTGACAGATAAGCTCAGAATCAGTTAGACCTACAGTATGTTCAAAAATTGTCAATTACAAGTTAATGTGACCTTGAGTAAGTCACGTTATCTCTTCCACATCTGTCAACGTGATAATAACACTGACAACGTCATAGGCTGGTACAAAAATTAAATGGGCATGTGTATAAATGGAATATAATAGCACATGGAATATAATAAATGCCTATAAATGTTTGACTACTATATTTTTATTACTGCTATTATCATCATCATTATTGTTAAAAACACTAAAAATTATATTTCTCCTGGAATCCTAAAATGTTACACTTGACAAAGACTGACTTATAAATCATTTAGTAAAATTCATTTGAATTAATTTTTAATTCAATCAAAGTTGAGTGATAGCTTTTGTCACTGTCAACACTGAGCCCCAACAGGTAACACTTAGAACACCAGAGTATTTATCCTCATGCTCTATTGGGAAGTCAGAGCGTTAAGGAAAATTGTAATGAAAGGTGTGGAAAAACCAATCTAAATAAGAATCCAGATGGAGAGACAATTACTTCTCGTGCCAGAAGGGGATGAATCTGGGACAGTTTCGTGGATCAAGTGGAATCTGAGCTGGGCCCTGAAGGTAAGCAGGAATCTGCCAAGTGAAGAAAGGGAGAAGAGAATCCTAGCAAAAAGTAAAACTAAAAAGCAATTAAAGGCATACATTTAGCTATTAGGTCAAACCTTCTTGTTAATTAATCTAAGATGTGGCCTTTAAACCTTTCCCAAATACCTATTGTACCAGTTACAAATTAAGTAAGGAATGGGGATGTATGTACAGTATGGTGACTAGGATTAATACTACTCTATTGCATATTTTAAAGTTGCTAAGGGACTAGATCTTAAATATTCTGATCACACACAAAAACATCTGGAGAAGCCACAGGTCAGTCACCAACAAATAGCTTTCTGTCCATGCCCAGGAGCTGCATAGCCTCGAGGTGACCGGCCAGGAGACTGTGGCCCAGATCGAGGCTCATGTAGCCTCGCTGGAGGGCATCGCTTCAGATCGAGTCATGCTCTTACCAGGCACGCCCTAGAGTAGGGGTGTCGACCTCAATCAGAGAAGGGACCAAAATCTAAAATCCAGCCTAAATCGCGGGCCGAATGGTTTACTGAATAGTCATAAACTGTCATTGTGATGGAAACGCAGCGGAGTGCAGTGATGACAGCGAGGTGTGGGCCACATTGCAAGGCCTGGCGGGACGGATTTGGCCCGCGGGCCTTGTGTTTGACACATGTGCCCTAGAGGATGAGGCTGCCCTGCGCCTCGTGGGGTGGAGCTCTGTCCACTCTGGAAGTAGCCGGACACGTGCTTGGAGGTCAAGTCCATGGTGCCCTGGCCCACGCTGGAAAAGTAAGAGGTCAGATCCCCAAGATGGCCAGAAAGGAGCAAAAGAAGACTGGTTGGGCCAGGCAGCAGATGCAATTCAACAGACACTGGTCAACAATGCACCCACCTTTGAAGGGCCCAATGCCAACTCTTAAGTACTTTGTGATCCTGGCTCTCTAATAAAGCCACATAGACCGGTCCAAAAAGAAATACCTGCAAGTCTGTATGGTGATGGACGTTAAGTTGACTTATTGTGGTGATCACTTTACAATATAAACAAATATCGAATCATTGTGCTGGACAACTGAAATGAATATAATGTTAGCTGTCTATACTTCAAAATTTTTGATTAATTAATTAAATTTAATAAAATACTTGCTTTCTAAATATTTACTTGACAGTATTTCAAGCAATATTAAATTAAATGAAAAATACAAATAACATGAATACACGGTCCTCCATAAATGTTCATAATCTGACTATTATAATTTGGATATTCTAATTATAAATAACTCAAGGCACTTTTACAGTAGTTCAAATTTGAATATGACCTTTACTTAAGCAGCCCCTTTACTATGCAGCTAATTTTACAATTCCTTCAGGTAGTTGCTTAAGAAAGTTTCGCTGGAGCTTATTTTGCTCGTCAAGTTCTGTGGAAATCTAAGGGGTGATTTTAAGCAATCATCTGGCCTCTTTACCACTCTGTCCTCTTCCCATTCCAATACAGGAGGGGGGAAAAATTGACGTTTCATTCAACATTCCCACATTCTTTTGCTTGGATTGCTACATTAAAAAAAAAAAAAGTGTGTATCTAGTTAAGATCAGAGATTTTACCAACTTTTTAGATTTATTAGTCTATTACCAGCTTTAAGATAATATAGACTAAAAAAAGGCAAGTATCTTAGTTCAGATTAAGCACACCCCAAAGTTATATGGGAAAAAAAAACTATTAAAATAATGTTAATGAGGAAAAAAATCTTCCAAATATTCTAATAGATGTATTTCTTAAATTACAATAGGAAATGAATGAGAACCACCACATGGTAGTAAAGGGTTTATCACAATTTATAATCTTTCAAAGATGAGAAAGAAGCAGGCATCATAGCTAACTGTGGTCTCCCTGCCGTGGCCATCTTATCTGTGCTGGTACATTTGTGCCTCACAAACTTTATTAAATCCAAAAAACTCTCTACAGAATGCTTCCTATGTGCATGGTACCATGCTGCATGCTATAGGGAATATAAAATAAATTATATGATACAGCATCTCTCCTGGGCAGGGAAGGAGAGGGGAGAGATTCACATATACGGCCACAGAATACCAAATATGATAAACCCTAAAAAACATGATGCCACTAGCACAGATTACAATTTCTGCAGGGATCAGAAGACCTCTTGCAGGCAGAGGCATAAGAGCTAGATTTTGAAAGAAAAGCAGGATTTCACTGGGCAGAATTAGGAAGGAAACTACATGAACAGATGCAAAGAAAGAGGAGAGAGAAGAATGTATTTGAAGAATCCAAATTACACATTTTGGCAGAGACAGAATAGGCCAAAGAGCCTCGGTCTGAGAAATTCCTCAGTGGCAAACTAAGAAGTTAATGCCAAAAGCTTCCGGAAAGGGGTGAGCACTGAGCAGGGCAGTGGATACAGGAGTGGAAGAAAAGAGAGACTTATGTTATTTGAGAGACACTTGACCCCAGAGAAGTTCAAATGAATGAGGACCAGCTGCAGCTAGCCTTCCAACGCCACAGCCTTGCAAATTCCGAGAGCCGTAGAAGTAGTCAAACTGATGTAGTTCATTTACTATGTTCATAAGCATGTAGTCAGCATTAGTTTTAGATCTTAAAAAGTACAAATTTTTTTAGAGTGCTACTTTAAAAAAATAATGAACAAAATGTCCCTGTAGGTGTTCTACCTTTTGTAACAGAAACTACATGGGTCTCAAGTGAAGATCTGGTGAGACAAATAAGCAAGACATTTACAAGTACTTAATGCAACCTGAAATGCAGATACTCTATTTTCAAGAAGATAATAAGGAGGAATCATAAGCAGATCACTATTATAGGCTCCTGGAACATAACCCAACATAACAAAAAGTTTCAAATAACCTCACACAATTATGCCTTGTGAGGTCCTGGTGAATTCTACCCAACAATAATTTAAGTCACATCTAATATAGTGAAATATGCCAATGCCTAAAAGACAGAAAGAGTACAAACAGTCCAAGAAAACATAAAAGCAGGAAATTGGTCAGGAAGAAGGAGAGAACAAATTCTAGAGAAAGAAATGCAGCACATGTAAGAGGTAAAGAAGGCCTTTAGAAAATGGAACCTGAATGAATACAAAATGCACAGCAGTTGGAATGATTTAAGCAGATTTATACCTGGTTATCATTAAGAGCCTGACTTTAGACACTCCAAGGTCAACAAACAAAAACATCTTTCTTCATTCGCAGTTTAGATGTGTGCTTATCAACAGAAACCCCACCTACATATTCAAAACGAACTGTAATAAAATCTTGGAAACCTTTGCCACATTTGCTTTCCAAGTGTCCTTCAGAGAAGTAATAAACTGGACAACAACGGGTGGTACCACCACACCGCAGGTATCTGAGGCGCTTCTGCAAATCTCATGATGATATCAATGACATCTTGAAACAATGACAATGGAAGAAACCACTTTCTTTCTCCACAAAAACTTTTCTTACCCTTTGACCACATAAATCTCTCCATCCTTGGAAACATCACTGCAGTTGGTTTTGGTCTCGAAGACCCCCTTTCCAGTCTCCAGAACTGTGTGATCTTATCCCCCAGCTGAGCTCTCAAGAGTCCTCAGGGATAGGAGTCAGCTCACACTCCTCTCTGCAGCCTCTGAGGGCCTGTTGTGAGTCCTCAGGACTTTCTTGTAGGATTGGAAACTCTGTTACTAAATTTTTCTTTGGAGTATATTTACACATGCTTTCCTGTTACAAACTGTTCTATAACAAGAACTCCAGAATAATTATTTTTGCTAAGAACAATTACACTTCAAAGGAGCACTCATGGTTACTCTATTGGTTGTGTGTGTAGAGTCTTAGAAGCAAAACATGACTTGAACCAGCATATCACAGACTAATCAAAGAGAACTCTAACAAATCTTATTTTCAGTAAGATAGCTTTAGCCTTGAAAAATACATGCACCTCATTTCCTTTAATATTACAAACAAGTAAGAATTTCCTTTCTTAGCAAAGGGAAACTACATTCCAAATCTATAAAAGATAAGTGTTCTACAGTTAATATTGTGATTTAGCTTATTAATCACTAACATTGGGAGAATCAATCGCTTAGGTTCTTTGTTCTTCCATTTCATCCAATATTGTACAAAGGCATTTTCTGCCCCCCACAGGTATATGGGGTACAAAGATTATGCACTAAAATGAAAAAGTGAGTGAACTAGGCGCTATTTTAAATGTCACCCACTGTAATATGACAGACCTATTCCAAGGGGTTAAAGTTGCTGACTCACATTATGAACTGAGCAAAGATGAATCAATGTGTCCCCTGACCTCGTGGAGTTCCCTGGGATGCTGTCTGAGAAAATACAGTGTTAAGGAAAAAAATTAAAATAATTCATGCCTCAAGTCAGAAGGCCAGCACTTCCGTGAGTTACTGGATGCCCTTCCTTCCTCATAACCAAGATGAGAAGCTTCATGTAACAATCCCAGACACAATCTCATTTACCTGCATCTCAAAATTCCCTTCGATAAGCACATTCGTGTCAAGCAAAAAAATTGGTTAATTATTCAGATTAAAAAAATAATTTATTTTGGAATCAGAAAATATTGGAAGTTCATTTTAAAATATTGAGGATTCCTACTATAAATTTTTATTATCAAAGAAAATTATTTCAAAAATTCAATCCTTCACAAGATTAAAATCCATCTTTTTAAAAACTGCTATACTTCTGTTATTTCATTTATTGAGTTACTTTCATAATTGTTCCAGAAAAATCTGTGGAAAGGATATTCTCTGGGCATTTATGTAAAGGTAGTGTCAATGTAACGTGCCTTCAAATAAAAGAGTCACTGAGTCCTATCCAGTTTCACTCAGTGGATAGAGTGTCAGCCTTTGGACTGAAGGGTCCTGGGTTTAATTCCGGTCAAGGGCACATGCCTGGGTAATGGGCACAATCCCCAGTACAGGGTGTGCAGGAGGCAGCCAATCAATGATTCTCTCTCATTATTGATGTTTCTATCTCTCTCTTCCTCTCCTTTTCTCTCTGATATATATATATATATATATATATATATATATATATATATATATATATATATATATATAAAGAATTGCTGAAAAATTACTTTATACATATATAAAGAATTGCTGAAAAAATTACTTCTAATAAAAATTGGGACTGATGGGGAAAAGTACTCAATGCATTTCTAAATGTCACAGAATATTTAGGAGACCTTTAATTTGATCATTTTTCTATACACACAAAAAAACTAAAATCAAGTATCCAGCTACTTTTAGATTTTAAAATTGATTTTTGTGTGTATGTCTAATCACCATCTGTTTATCAATTCTACTTTAATATACTTTATAGTTTTTACTCAAATTAAACTTTTAAAAATCAGGCCAATTTCATGCTAATGACCCAACTGACTGGGAAAACCTATTATAATGGCATTATACCAAAGCTAATCTTAGGAAGGAAAGTTTCAAAAAGCAAAACACTCTAAATTGGAAGCAGAAACATTAGCCCAAAGTAATCACAAACTAGGTCTAAATAGAGAGTTGGCATTTGCCCTCAGTCAACAGAAAGTAGCTACAATTTTACAGTAATATAATCTGTTAACACTTAATTTATATAGCTAGATATGGATATATTTAAGTTTTCTTTGCTAAGTTATTAAGTTGCAGGTAAGTATGTGAGTAAATTTCCATATAACTTATTTCCAAAAGAATGTGGCACAATAACACATGTATATTTCCCCCAGTTATTACAGCAGTAAAAATACAGGAAGCACTGTTTTTAACAAGAGGGCGTTTGTTAGGGCTACTTCCTTGCTACAGAAGTTATATTTAA